TAGCCTGAATTTCATCCGATTACTTCGAGTCGTTATTACTCCCTCAGTAACGTCTGAATCGACCGGCCGTTAATGCCGTCCAGTGACGTCACTACTCTTGAACCTTTGCTTTAATTCATGCAAAAAGTAAAACACGATTTTCAAGTGGCAAACCGAGAAATATCGTTTGGAAATGTCTGCATAATACAGAACTGCTTTATTTTTTTCGATCGTAATTCATGTTTAACGTTCAAACTATCAACTGCATGCAGCACAACTCTGAACCGGTTGTACTAAATTCTACAATCAAACTCGGTAGCAATCACGCAATGAAATAAACACACACACGGAACACGTAGTTCAAAAACACAATGATTTGCTTTAATTGAAAAGATGCTATTTGGTCCTTAACGAAGAAAAAACAAGGAGACAAGAAAGAAAAGCTAACAGAATCATTACTTTTGACGGTAAAAATAGCAAGAAGGTCGAATTATAACATTGATTTCAGAAAACTTCGCGTAAACAAAATCACAGGCTGCCGAAATCACAAAGCGGCTCTAAATGAAAAACCTACCGACTCTTCGCAATGATTCTTCGTTCGCAGTTTAATTTAGCATTTCAGTTTCGAAGACAAGGTCAATTTTGCTGTTTAAGATAAAGATTGCGCTTATCGAAATGTTTCAACTAAACGAAAGGATGCCAGGGATGCGATCCGCTGAATATCAAGCGACAATCCCGCTAAAATTTTTCATAATTATACATAATTATGCGAATGTTTAGACAATCAACCAATCAAAATCACTACCCGGTTTTCGGGTAGTGAGTGACGTCACTGGACGGCATTAACGGCTCGTCGATTCAGACGTTGTTGAGAGGAGAAAACGACTCGAAGCAATCGGATGAATTTCAGGCTAATACCAACCATGACCGCCACAAGATAAAAATAGAACATGACATCATTGATAAACCCGTCAAACTGGATATACTTAATGAGATTTCACCGCAAGTTAATGAGATACCACAGCAGTTTATTCATGAGATCAAGACAAAAGGTTATGACGTCACCTAGTTAATGTATTCCTGCGCACGCTAATGAGATTCCTGCGCAAAAAAGGGGCCTAACCGTTCCCTCCTATACTATTGATGGCTAGATATCAGCCAAGTTACTTTCCGTTTCTGCGGAAAGAGCAAGGCCTGTAATCCTAAAAGTAGTATAGCAGGACTGTGTAACTTCGTTCTTTAGGAGGTAAATTAATCTCATTAACGAATACATTAACGTCGATCATTTCATAGATTTTTGATTTTGTCTCGCATAAAAAGCGGTGGAATCCCATATATCTTCGTTCTAGCCTTTCTAGTCTGCTGATAGAAGATTGTTAAAAGTGGTTTCCAGTGTTTCATGTGTGACAATGCTCCTTAATCGTGACACCAAAGAAAGCCCTCTTTTATGTAATTTCTCTTTTCGAGGATCTGGTGCGTGTACGATCACATGTAGGGCAAATCTTGTAATCATTCGGATGCGTACAAGGTAGAATTCACATGGACTTTAAGAGTGAAAGATGGTCGTCCTTTCAGAGCAACCACTTTCTTGGGTTTCCTTGGCTTCACTACCATTTGCAGAAACTCTCTCTTCTGCCAGATCTTCTTCTCTACACACGATGAACTATCCGTATTTATCTCCATCTCGGAGGTTTATTCTCCATTTCGAAAATCTTCTTCCTTTGCTATCAATAACTTCGACACTTGTTGCTTTTAATAAAACGGACTCCCCAACCAAGCTCCGCAAGTCCTTAAAGGAACATACTCAAGGCACCAGCTTTGGTTACGGCATCGATTTGTTCAAATCAAAATTTACCTTGTTCAGCCATGTTCACCAGGTAAATTATGTGTTTTTTTCGACCTAAATCAAAATTGTCGGTGGGTAATCCGGAACTGAATATCTCTGTACGCAGCCGCGCTATCTAAGAAATCGGAATGCTCCGCTTGGGGAGATTATTTAAATATCTTAATTCGTGTTTTGTAATCCTCACTTTCAGGATCAGAAGTTGGTCAGCCTTTTTATTTTCAGTGTCGAGTTCTGCGTCATCCAAATCTCTCTTTCTTTTCATCTCTGCCCGTACCCGTGCCCTAGAAGGTAAGCTTGTATGGGCAACTTAGCTCTTTTTCCTCGGCTATAGCGTCCTCCTAAGCTTGTAACAACGGGGACCAATAAGTCTTGAATTAAACCATGTATCTAATTGTACAAGGATCTGCTTATTTTCTTCGCAAGGCACATTTTTTTCTTCTTGGTCTACTAGAGCATCTATAAATGACATTTATTTCTGCTTATTTTCTGCTGCTAATTAAAGGAAATGTACTTTATAATAAGTAAATTTTGTGGGACTTGGGACTAATGCACGAATTTGCCGTGGAGTGGCTTTGCGTAACATGACCATCTGACACTGCTGACCATGACAATCCTCCAATAGTTAAAGGTTACCACGGTTTTCCTTCACTACCAGAAATATGGCTGCAAAACACATAGAAATGGGGTGGTGGTCGTGGTGCATGAACTTATGTTAATGAAGATTTCCCGCATTTTTTTTTCCTGACTATAAAGAAAAAAAGTTACGATATCTTGTGTTGGCCTATCATTCCTCAATTTTTTTAGATTTCTCTTCAAAAAAGCGGTAAAATATCCCTACTCCTGAGATGGCCTCAACTCGCCCGCTTTGGGTAGAACGTGTTGGTTTTGGACAGATCTGAGTGCTAGGCATATAGTAAAGTATAATTAGGTCCTGTAGACTAAGTCAGGTTAATTTTAAGAGGCCTTCCTTTTTCATTAAGTTATTTATTCACTTGAATGTCGTGTAGACAACAACCGTATGAGGATAAATCTGAAGTCAACTGTTGTTTTGCAGCGTTTATTTTAGATTTCTTGAACTAGGGCGACTTAAAAAAGTTTTGCAATAAGTCTTAGAATTTCTCTTTCATTTACTTATGACTACGATAAGCATTCTAAAAAAAGAGTTGCCATTTCAGTTGTTCCCCTTTATAATTTTAAATGTTATGGATGCACTTGCATGGTTTGTGCTAATCACTAAAGAATCCATAGTTTCTATCGTCTACCCCCCAAACAACTCGTAGGCTTCTTTGGTGCCAAGCGCATATGCTTAGCAAGTACTATAAATAACACGATGTGGCGTGTCTCTTTACAGTGTTTCACGGATGACGTCGAAGTGTTGTTAAGTGGAGATACCTGATAAACACGTTAAAAACGTCGCAATAAATAAAAAAGTGACCATATTCGTGAGGCAAATGATTAACGCGAGCGGAACAGTGCAATTTCTCTGTACAAAAATTAGAGTTGAAAAGATAACGAGATTTGTCGGTTCTGTTCTGGTCATCGTTTTACAGTTGTTCCTTTGCTTGATATTTTGTTCTTTTTTTTCTTTTAGTCCTGTTTAATTTTCGCGTTAGTTAAACCAAAAGAATGGTATTATTCTCATAAAAGGTGGATATCGTCAAAAAAGTAAACAGTCAAGTTTAACTGGTCTTTTCTCGATTATCTAAGGCTACAGTGCAAGTGGATAATCGTGAACCAGAACAAATTTCCATGAGACAAATGACTTCAGAGGTTTCGTCTGGACATTATATGCCACTGGTTAAGGCACGCCAATCATCTGGCTCACCGAAAGTCATTCCGTCAGTCGACGCTTCATCATTAAGCCAGTATGAACCTTTAAACCCATCATCAATTTATTACGAGATTCTTCGCCAGAATATGATTATTGAGAAGATAATTGGCAAAGGTGCCTTTGGTCAGGTTGCCAGGGGAAAGGTTAAAGGCCTACGTGAAAGACAACGTGACACACAGGTGGCTGTCAAAATGTTAAAAGGTAGAAGATAACTTGATTAATCACTGTGTAACTAATAATTTAAGAATAGGATAACTGAAAAATAAAGGAATGTAACACAAACGACTCACAATGAAAACGCTCGTTTCCTCACCTTTCAGCTGACGCGCCGGACTCCGACAGGAAGGATTTGCTATCAGAGCTTGAAGTGATGAAGACGTTAAAGCCTCATCCGCACGTCATTAAACTACTTGGATGCGTCACCGAATCTGGCAGGCTACTGTCTTTAGACATCAATTGCTATGCTGCAAGTAAAGGGTCATTCCTGTTATTTTAATTGTACCTTTTTCAGTCTGAGTCAAGTCTCTTTGTCCGTGAATGACTAAATGAATACGTCGTTTTTTACTCAGAGCCCTTGTTAGTCTTGATCGAGTACGTTCCGTACGGGGATCTCCTGGGTTACCTGAGAAAGAGCCGTGGATTAAACGACACTTATTTCATAGACCCAGATATCAAACCACAAACAAGTCTGATGTCACAACAGTTGATGAAGTTTTCTTGGCAAGTTGCTGATGGAATGAGTTACCTCTCATCGAGAGCTGTAAGCTAAAATATTTGACTATTATGTATTCAAAGTCTGGCTTAGACTGTCTCCATTTTACAAAGAAAAATTATACAGACTAACAGTGAGGAACACACTCAGGTCCCCTCACTTTCAGCTACGTTTTGCTTTTGAGTTTTGATAAACCCCCTCGACTATGGCGATTTCATAAAATTTATTTCCGGCTGGACTGATGTGGATTAAAATGCAAGGACGTGAAACTGACGGAGCTCTTGTTTGGACAAATATATCCTATCCATTTGGTGTCAAATCTTAAAAAATAACTTCAAAATTTACTGAAATGTAACAGCATTAAAGTAAGACAGAAAGATCCGAACGCCTTAACAAGTCCATGTGACTTGCAAGGTTTTAAGCTCGTGTGAAATGAAATCTCACATTGCAGATTATTCATCGAGACCTTGCCGCTCGAAATGTTCTGGTTGGAGAAAATGAAACTTGTAAAGTGACAGACTTTGGAATGGCAAGAGATGTGCAAGAACAAAATATTTATGAAAGGAAGACAAAGGTTTGTATTATATTGGAAACAAACCTACAGTATAGGACCGGCACGCAATCCTTTCCATTACCTGTGGAGGAAAATACGTATAAGGTTTTGTTGATTATTTCGTTGCTTTCTAGGTTTCATGCTTTAAGAGTTGCTCCCACAACTATTGTCCACGAAGTTAAGGCAGTTTGTATAAAGTTGATAAAACATTTGACAATCCTGAAAAAGCAGAACAGACTATATTTTGCCGGTCACGAAAACATGGGATTACATTGCATATTTTTGGTGGTTATGCTTGTCTGAGTGTGGTAATATAAATTCGTGCTTTGCCAAGCATAAATTTTTAATTCAGCTGCATATAAAAGAAGATTGCTAACTTTATACCTGATAAAAGTGTTAGAGAACGGCTAAGTTGCAGTGAAACTTTGTTCGGTTTTGTTCTTTGACACTTTTGTTCTTTCACAAGACAGGAAGAAAGTGTAAAAAACAAAGTTGCGTGTGAACGAAACCTGAGTTTTATTTTTGCAGCAACCGATTATTTTGAAAATTTAAGATGGCCCTCTGACCTTTTATTTCGGAGTATATTTTTCTACCGATACAGGGAAGCAAGGACGTACATTACTTTTTCATTATCTTTCACTTCCGCCTACTTTTTGCCAACACGCTATTCCATGTTGGTCGTCCATTTGTCTTATGGTCATTTACTTTGTTGATATGCAGGGTCGTTTACCAGTGAAGTGGACTGCATATGAAGCCCTACTTTACGGACGATACACCACCAAGAGCGACGTGTAAGAAAACGTTCTATATATATGCATTAATAATTTGGTATTTGCAGAACAGAAGCTCGTCAGTCGTGTCACGTGAGACGAAGGAAGCATGCAAGACGGTTAATGTCACTGGGGTAACCAGCGTCAATGACGCAAAACTAACCCTCTCCCATCTCTAAACTAGAAGTGAAAAAAATGTGTATTACGTGTAAAAAAACGCAGAACCTTTGCGTGTCTTTTTGTTTTTATAGGTGGAGCTTTGGAGTCTTGCTTTACGAGATATTTACAATTGGTAAGGTCCTATAGCTATTAACTTACTGTGGTTTTTGAAGTTTTTGTTAAAACATAGAGAATGTTCTGAAAGAAGAAAGGTATTACGTTTCAACATACTTTAGAACTGAAGAATGCATATATTATTTGTATATATTTGTGTTTACCGCGCAAATTGCCATCGATAACTTGCTGCCGACGTTAAAACCCCCCGCAGTGCCAAATGTGATAATGGCGAGCAACAAGAGCGCTGACCCACACAAATGTCGTGAACAAAAATCTGAAGTTGGCTGCTTTGCACGACGGGACGCTGCTTTCTAACCCAAGGATTTTGATGCCTTTCTTTTAACACATATTCGTGACGTTGAGTCAGATCACTGCTCAAGTAGTTAAGTGTTTTATATCTGGAAAATGGTTTATTGGCTATAACTTCGGTAAAGATGATGGCGCTGAATCAAACTTTGGCACACATATAGAACTCATCGCCTTTGACATTTTACAGCATAAACAGTGTGTTAATCAGTCACGTGATATATAACGTCATCATTTTACGAAAAATCGTAAATTACTGATCAGTTGGTGGCCGGTTTAAGAAAAGAAATCGAGCAATACCATCTTTCTTATTCATATTAAATATTTCTGACACTTCACGTTTGGAATGATCGTCCATGACACTTCAAGAAAAAATTATGAGAAAAACATCATCTTAAATGTCCAAATTTGATCTTCAATCATTAAAAACGTGAATTTTGAACTTTGCATACATTCATTCCAAAGGCAGAAAGTAGAAAGTTAGGCATGTTTATCCTCTTTCAAAGTATATTCCCCACCTATTCGCCAATTTCCCACCGATTCCCCACCAATTGGCCAATTTCCATATTTAAACGTTCAGACACAAGAACACCTCAAGATTTACTTTTGGGGAAAAATTTTTTTGTTGTAGGTTTCCTAGCGAGAGATATTGCCAATCATTCATTCGAACACACCTTTGACCCAGTCCTTAAACCCCTTGAGTGAAAGATTGACTAGTTGAGAAGCCTTTTCAGATTTTCTTCTGGTTGAAATGTTTGACGTGCAGGGAGACAACTGTCTCTCGCTACAGTGGCAGAGTTCTCTGATAATTTAATACTGTTATCTTATCACAGCAAGTATTTACACCATGACTTACATTGACGGCAGCTTTTAGTTCCCATGATGCCAAAATGAGGCAGATAAAGAGGCGGGTGTGTAAATAAATTGTCCTTACAGTCACTTCCAGTTAGTTCCTTCCATTTTGAGTAAAAACAGCAACAACAACAACAACAAATTTTGTGAGAACTCATGCCTTGTAATAAAGTGTTGTAACAACTGGTCACTTTCTCCTTTTAAGGGGGTTCTCCATATCCACGAATGGATGGCAGGAAGATTGTAAGCTTACTTCAGGACGGATACAGGATGCCTAAACCAAAGCATGTTGATGATGAACTGTAAGCAATTCTGTGTCCGCTTCATGGGTTTCGAAACATCTTATTCCTATACTTATTACCTCTCTCCATACCATTAATATCTAATAGGATCCTTAAGGATCCTGCGAGGTTTTTCACCAGAAATGATTTTGGGAGTCGAAACGCCAGAATGCTGAGGTCACAATTTCCATGTCACAGTTGTACGTACTTGTCGCGTTCCGGAGATGAAGAACAGTCCAAAAGTATCTTCTAGCCCTGACCAATATTAGCTTTTCAGGTTTTGCATTTCTTCGAGAGAAAATTTAGTGATCAAGCCAAACTCCCGAAAAAGTTGGACTTAAATTGAAAATTTCAATCAAGATGATGACTATACTTTTCTAAATCTCCTTTTACTCTAATAGGCCACTTCCGAGGTCCAAAAACTCTCGCTTTCAAAACGAGACTAAGTGCAAAGGCTTAAGATAACACGCAAATGAACTATTGGTATGGACGAAAAGAATTGTTGCTCAACATACCATGCATAATGTTTGTGTTGTGACAGGTACAAAATAATGAAACTGTGCTGGCTGGAAGACCCTAATGCAAGACCTTCTTTTTCTGAACTGACAATAAAGCTGAAAAAGATGGAAAACCAACATAAGGTACCATTTAAACAAGAAACGTCCTAGACAATTTTGAATCTCCTTCAGTTGTCCTCCTTCCAATTTTTTTTACCTTCATTAGCAAGTCTGGAGCTGCAAAGCAAGGGTAGCCTTATAGGTTCTGTCTTCAAAACGTTCTCGTTATGCTTCTTTGGCAGTCAACTACGACCTCTCGCCATGCCTGTTTCTTATAACTAAAGTGAAGAAATATAATTGTTAACTGCATGGATTGTTTTTTCAGTTACGAGAACAAGCTGCTTGTAAGACATCAATGATTTGCCTGCGTACTTTATTGTGTGAAAAGTTTTGTATTTAAGCTAAGAGAAATAGTCCAACCAACCCTACAGCATTCGCTTCTAATAGGATTACTTAGGTTTGAAATAACCTTCAACGCAGGCGTTTTTTTTTTTTTTTTTTTTTTGGCGGGTCATATTATACGTTGCTGTTCAGCCCGCCATGCTTTCCCTTCTCTTTTTTTTCTTTGTAATTTTTTTTTTTTTTGTTATTATAATTAATCCAGACAGACTTATAGTTTGTGCTTTTAATTGGATTTTTTTGGTTTGAAATAACCTTTAAAGCAGGGTTTTTTTTTTTTTTTTTTCTTTTGGCGGGTCACGCAAACAATTCCTTCTCACTGATCCAAAAAGACGTCTGCGCAGCAGGCTGTTGTTATGGCTTGTTAAATTATAACATGTTTTTTCTTTTTTATTTACAGGGGCTAATAAACATGAAATTGTATGATAATCAGCTATATGTAAACCTTGAAGACTTGACCATATAAAACAAAACTATCCGCTCACGTGGGTGCCGCGGTCATGATTCTTTACTTTTTTCAGTAGACCAATTACTTGAACAGTATCCTCATTAAATAAAGTGAAATAAAGCTATAACAATTAAAAAACATTTTTAGGTTCAGAAAATTAGACTGGGAGTTAATTTTTAAGCGAAAAAAATTACTCAAAAGATTCATGGCACTACCGTTTACCCTCAATCGCTCGATAAAGATCTGAAGTGCAGAAGATATAGTTTGTGGAGGTACTTTACTTGACCCACTATATTATAGGCTGACAGACGAGTTTACCACTATTCAGTGCTATTTAAAAAGATGCCATAACCCCAGATAGAAATGTATATACTGAATCATAGTTAGTAGAGGGGACTGGTTATGAAAGTCGGCGAGCTTCAAAGAGCGTGACAAAAGAGCCGTCGCTGATGTTGAAAGTACTAACTATGACTGAATCTAGCTAGAGCTTATAGAGCAAACTCAGGGGAAAATACTTGGACAGAAATGTTTCTATTAAGGTACCACTGTTGGTATAAAGTTAATTCCAAGGAGAAAGAAATTTTAAAAAAAATACAATTTTAGGAGAAAATGTAGCAATAACACCAAACAGTTACAGACCGCTTAAACATTTTTAAATATATATGGAATAATTTTCAAATGCAATTTAGCGCTGTAACCTATTACTATTTTTATTTCTTTTTTTACTATTATTTTCTATAAATTCTATCAAGTGAACGTGATTTTTACAATTAGCTGCTATTAGGTATAAGTTGTACAGGCTGTTAAGGTTAAGTGAAGCGCGAGTATAGGAGCCATACGGCGCATCAAAAAGTTTGTTCCCGTAGCTACTCTGGAAACAGTTTATAAAGGCTTAGTTCAGCCATATTTTGAGTATTGTTCTCTTTTGCGGGACACTTGCGGCAAATTATTGAAAGATAAGCTGCAACTATTTCAGTCACGTGCTGCTAGAGTTCTCAGAGGTATCAGTTGTGATATTCGCTCCGCAGACTTAATTGACTCTCTTTCTTGGCAAACACTTGATGATCGATGGCGCTGTGCAAATTCATTTTAATGTATAAAATATTTTAAATGATCACACCGCCCGCGGCCTAATAAGGAACTCTTTTGTGAGAAGGAATGTTGATCAGACTAATTACCATCTACGTAACACGGCTACTGATTAGATTTTACTTGGGTATTGACGAGCTGTGTATCTTATTAGTGGTTAACTTTTTATATACTTATATGAAATAGAAATAGTATTAGTAGTAGCATAAATTATAGAATTAGTTTAGTAATTTATATAAGGCTTTTATATGTGTTAACACGCCCTCCATGGAAACCAGCCAAGCGTTGTTTGGGAAAGCGTGTTTCTCTTGTGATATGAATTTTTAAATAAAGTATTACCTACCTACCTACCTACCTACCTCAAATAACTATGATTATTGTGTATGAAATTATGAATATATGAAAATCATATATGTGAAGTGCGGAGCCGGAAGAATTATTTGGAGGAGGATCATCGCAGTTATATAAGCAAATTATGCAGTTGCGAAAAGGAAGCAAGAAAAAAATTCAAGCTTGTACCGGATTCGAACCCTTGACCTGCTGCGATACCGGTGCAGCGCTCTCTGTTAGAGTCATCATCCTTTCACGGGTTTAATTTATAACCAACCAATTCAACGACCTGCTCCCAGCTGGCTTGTTAACTTAATTGGTAGAGCGCTGCACAGGTATCGTAGAAGTCAAGGGTTCGAATCCAGTACAAGCCTAAATTTTTTTCAGGTTTTCTTTCCGCAACTGCATAAGTTGCGTATATAACTGCGATGATTTTCCTTCAAATGATTATTGTATATGTCAATAAATCCGCCAAAAGAATATATGTTATTTTTTTTATCATTTACTGAAAGACTTGTATATAGCACTAGTAAGTTCACTAATTCTGCCGGATACAAATATCGCTTGAGGGCGTTTATCTTGAGGGTCCTTGAGCCTTGGGATGATCCAAATAAGGTCGTTTATGATCAAGTTTACTTGGATTGTGGTGCATAAAAGGTACCGATGAGTCCTTTTTCAAACAGGATCAATAGTCCAGTTTCGAATTTAAGGTTACCGCTGAATACAAACATTAACGACACATTTATACAGGGTTACCTTCGACGTAATCAGAAATTCTAGCAAGTGAGTGTTTGAAATTTGAATATACACAATAGACAGAGTAGTAAACAGATATTTTCCTCGTTGGAATTTGCGAATAGATTACTTCGGATGGAGGCTAAGCCCGTAAAAAATGCGTCTTCACTTCTTTAATTCAGCGGTCATAGCGAAGTCGAAACTGGACTATTTTGGGATGCACCATCACGCCAGTGAACTGGATCATAAATCCTGCTACCGATCATTCCAAGGATGGTACGCTCCCTTATGACTTAGCTTTTCCATTCCATAGTCTGAAATTTAATCCCAATCTTTTAAAGCAAATTTATACAACAGGATAAATTAAAGTTATGTGATAACCATAAACCCGCCTTTACCAGTGATGGAACCAGCTCTCTTCCTTTCAGGGGTTACTTCCTGCCTGTGACCCCTGTCACACTAATTGTTTCGCTCAGCCAATTAGATGCCAGCTATCACATGAACAGTTGATGCCTATATTTTCGCGCCTAGCTCAGCAAAATAGCACTTCATATTCTTCTCTTCGTGGAACAAAATGCCTGTTACTTAAAGCCTGGATTTTTCTTCAAGAATTGTAATTTTTTGTTTTGTTTGTTTGTTTTTTTGGTTACCAAAACAAACAAAAAACCCCTCTTTAACAAGAGACATTAACAGAGAACAGCAAAATTAATTGTCAAATTATTACAGGGCTAAAAGAAATTATAAAAAAGTACAACAGGGCAATGAAATAATACGGAGTTAGTATAGGTAATAGCATGATTTGTAGTGATATTTGGCATAAATACCACAAGTGATATTTCAAAATCGTTATACTTAATTTCACGAGCCGTCAGGCGAGTGAAATTTGAGACAATTTTGAAATATCACAAGTGGTATTTATGCCAAATATCACATACAAATCATGCTATTATTTGTTTATACTACCGCCCGCGAAAGGTTTGTAATTTTCACATGTAGGTATTTCAAATTAAGCTGAAATACCACTGCTCTGAGCCAATCAAATTGCAGAAATTTCTCATGTAGTAGTATAAATACAGTTAACTTAAATAAGGCGTCAGTATCCACTTTCTTTGAAAGAATTCTTTGTTGCTGATTTTTTCTTCTGTTTCATATTTAGCTATGATCTTGGCTCTAAATCCATAAATGTTTGGAAGGATTTGTTTGCTCCTGCAGTCCCACAAATAGAGTTTTCCAATAATGATAAAATAGTTCAGCAATTGAAGTAAAGGGCAAGCATTTTCCGTCAAAATTCCAAAGAGCACATTTTCCAAGCAGAGACGAATTCGTTGATTCGAAATAAGGCACCAATATAGTTCAAATTCAATCCAAAACTGTTTAGAGCGTGAGCAGTGATAGAAAAATGGGTTAATGATTCAGGTTGATTGTCACAGAAAGTACATAAATCATTTGTTCTAAAACCTATTTTATACAACTTTGTATTTGTGTAAAGAATTGAGTTAATTACTTTGTACTGGAAGGCTTTAACATACAACTCGACTACGATAGAGTGTGGCAGCTTAAATATTTGCTTCAGATTGTCGCTGTTAAAATGAAAGTTACTCTGTAATTTTTGAATAATATTGGGCGGTTTAGCTTTTTCTCTCATGAGTAGGGTATAGTAATCCTTTGATTTCCCTTTCGTAACATCAAAATTATTGTCACCCACCACAAATGTTGGTGAGTTTATGGAAGGATACCTGTCATAACTTCTTAACGATAATGGAATGGACCTGCGTAAGCCAGCCCATTCTAAAATATTTGTTTTGCATATTTTTTTAGACAGTTGATTTCGTTGATTTCGTTTTCCAATCTTCTTCAGTGGCAAACGTTTCACGAAATTGCGACCACCATAACAAAAGTTCCTGATAAAATTGAGAAGGAATTGTGTAATCCGAGATATTGTAGTTGCAGTTAAAAAAGAACAATCCCCCAACAGAGCTCAGTATGTGTTGTAGGTAGCTTTTCCATATTCCATTAGTCCCACTAAAGATACGTTTTAACCAAGCTAATCTCAATGATTTAACCATGCACTCGAGATCAACCATTCTTAGCCCTCCCTCTTCGTATTCGTTTATAACTGAAGCTCTTGTTACCTTATCTACACCTTTCCAGAGAAATTTAAACAGTATTTTATTCAATTCTTTTAGCAATTCTTTGGGAGTTGGAAGGATCGAACAAATGTAAATGTACTTAGGGATAAGAAAAGATTTGATTATTGTCACCTTACCGTATATCGACAAGCCTCTAGCGGACCATATATTAATAAGTTTTTTAATTGAATCCATTCGTCCTATAAAATTCTTTTCTTTAAGCAATTTTTGGTCATAAGTAAAATATGCACCTAGAGCTTTTATTGGCTCGTCCGGCCATTTAATACCGAATGGGAATTTTTGCTAAGCTGTAATGACTAGATCACCGTTTAGGAAGGGGTACCTTAATCTTCCAACTGCATACAAGCGTTACGCGTTCGAGTTTTCTGGACAGACCTTCCACGAAGAGATGTTTCACCGCCGCTCTTGGTCAAACTCCGTCCTTGGAACATTGATCTACAATACTGCAACCCGGCCTCCTCTTGAATGTCGCTCCTTTCTCCTCTTCTTGAACTTTCGATATCCTCTCGCATGTACCCTCACTTTAGGCGGTTGGACTCTCTCGGCTGGCACTTCACAGTCAAGGTTCCTCCGCAGGAAATCATCTTAGGCCATTGTGTCTTCCTTTGGGATCAGAGTTGCTCTCTCGTGATTCAGGTGCGGTATTTTTCTGGTTTATCGATAGTTAACTTAATATTCTTATTATATTGTGCCTCCAACGACATCTATTTTTGCAATATTGTGTGCATGTGACCGTACTGAGCGCTTTTAGACATGGAAAGTTATTTTTGGACTTGGCGCCGCGGCCTCTGAAATTCGCCTTATTTGTGAGTCCCGGGGATTCAAGTATGGATGTCCGTGCGTTTATTATGCTCTTACTATGGAGTCAGAAAGAATACGGACTGTTAACATCAAATCTGTTAAGATTGGGTCTTCGAGGTTTTTTCAAATAATGGATCGACTTTCAGTTTCAATTGTTTATTCACATCTAACATATTAATGGTTGTCTTTTCACCAGGATGTTAAATAAGACTTAAGAGCCGCTAAGTTTTACTTAACTAAAAATTAGTGTGTGAAGGCCTAAGTAAGATCTCAAGTCACTTTACTTTGCTTCTCGGAAAGTTGAAACGATTCAAGAAAGTTTCAAGCGACTTGAAAACCATCCTTATGACCGACTTAGCTGACTTGCGGTTTTGCGGTTTCTTGAGCTTCGAGAAAGGCGAGACATGTCAATCAATCATAATTTTCAAAAGGTTGAGTTTGATCGTCCGGGTGAACGTAGTCATGAATAGGACTGTTGTTGTTGACAGTGACTGACGTTTCGACAACCTGTGCGGTAGTCATCTTCAGAGTCAAAGTGAGTTGTATCACGTCAGTTGATGGTACAATGCTCTGGTTATTGATCTGATTGGTCAATTATGTCGCGATGTTATTGGTCGTCTGTCAGTTAAGCCGTGATGTTATTGGCTATGAAGACTCGTAATCAGTGATTGGTGCGTTTCGATCCGTCTATTGTCACTGTTAAACAGTCGTCTATTGTAAGTCAAATTGTCAGTTCTGCAGTTGTTCTCTCGTAGTTAGTTTTGCTTGATCTCGTCAATAAGTCGTTTGTACGGCGCTGGTAACTGTTGGCTACGATTCAGTGGCGTTTGTTCTAAGTTAGTAAACCAGCTTTCTAAAGTAAGACGTTGATAGTAGTCTGTAGAATACGTTATACATGTCGCAGAGTCCCAGTCAATTTGA